AACGCACAAAGCGCGAAAGCGAAAAAAAGAAACGGATTACACCGAGGAAAACACGTAACGGAGTCGGGATGAACCTACTTGCCGTACAACCACGACTGTGCGCGCAGTTGCGCAGTTTTGCCGTGTGGTTGGATGTCGCCGTTATTTTGTCGTCAAAATACTGTAGGTGGTGGGCCAGAAAAAAACAGCTCTATTTAATAAAAAATCAAATTGTGAGCGCCTCGAGCGGTTGACTGGCTCCTTAGAGCAGGTACTCCCCGGTCACCCGCACGTCAACGGGTTGCGGAATTTCAAGCTTTATCTCCATCGTATACAAGCACACCAGTCCGAAGAATACAGTATGCCCACATTGAGACCAATGGACCTGAGGACCTGAGAGAATCGTGCTCGGATGACTCCACTGCCGCTGCCACACAATGGTGGGAAGGTACATTCAAGCCTGCTTAAACACGGACGCGCAGGAGCGGCAGGATGTGGTTGATGGACTTGGCAAAATGGTCTTCGGTGGTGAGGTGGACAGGGCGCGAGGGCTTGCGTTGTTTGGGCTCACGCACAACTTTGCGTTTTTTTGTCACTCTTTCTCCCGGTCAGTCAAAAATTGAATGTCTGAAAAATGACGCGTCCATAAACAATGCATGGCATGGAAAAAAACTGCTTTTCGGCTGGGAACTTCCTCGTATAATGAGCGGATGCTGGTGCCCAGTGCCGCCCGCCATCTGCGAGTGAGTATCGGATATACATTGCAGTGGGTGTCCGACGATGAACATGACTGTCTGGACTTCCTGCGTCTCCGCGACCCCTGAAACCCGACGTTTTTGGCGCAGGTCCATTTGAACTACATTTCGTTATTCGAGCTCTTTACTGCTAGCTTTCGTCGATTTACAATGACGGTCACTACACAGCAGTGTAATGGATAAAACGTAAAAGAATAGAAAACCCAAGCTGCAGAAATTTGTGAGGTTCGAGCTCGGATACCGTGTCAACATGGAGCTGCGTGCGCGCGCGGACACGCACAACACACACGCAGCAGGATTTTCTTTTGAGAAGAAAACTACAGATATAACTTATTATTGTAATGATTGTACTGGATGACCCAATGTGTCCTGAAACTAATGTGAAATTCCTAATTTCATCCTAACAAGCGGGCGGAGGATGGTCAAATTCTGCTGATTACAATGGGAAAAAAGATTACTGTTGGAGTAAAGCCACCGTGCCTTTCATAGTAGCAGTACAAGAGCGGCGAAGGCTACAACGAGTCCAGTGGTGCCACGATTTATTCGGTGGGGGAAGAACGTGGATAGGTCTGTGACGACGGAAGTGTTCAGTATGGTTCTCTTTTTAAAGCTTTTGGAAAAAAAAAGAAACAAGCTTTGCGCGGGAGCGACCCCACTCGGTACTGCACCAGGCACCCCCCACGACAGGCCCCACCGCAACAAAAATAGTGGATGGCTGCCCGCCTTTATAAGATTTGACGCGTATCCGCTCCCCAACTCCAAGCACCCCTGACTATGGCGCAGCAGTTGGCTGGATACCTTCGCTTGGGAACTACGCACTGGCGCACTGACCGTCAAGAACCTTGGGTGTAGCCGTGCCGCCATTGGCGGTAGATGCTAATTTGACATTTTTTTATTCATTATTTGCGATGTGAACACACATTCATTTAAATTTGTTTCCAGAACAGTATCGACAGACGAGAAAACCGAGCAATGTACACTACCACTATGCAACCCCACTGTTATCCCCACCCCTCCAAACGCGCTCCAATCCAACCCACACGATGTTGACACCCTCGAGCAACCCCTCCATGATGAAGTTCCCCAACAAACCCATCCATACCCGCACCCATACACATACTTCATCAACCCCTCCGTCAATCCCATAGTCGGGGAGTGCGTTGAGATGGAAGTGAGGCGGAGAAAGATGTGCGGTGAGGAGGATGCGATGTCTGTGCGGGTTGAGAAGGTTTGAGAAGGTGGGTTGAGAGGGTTTGTGAAGAATGGGGCGAGGTGCGCGCGGTGCGCGCGGAGACGAAAGCAAAGTTGGAAAGCATATGCGGAGGGTTTGGTGAGTGCGGAAGGAGTGTTTGGGTATATCGTTGGCAGCTGTTGGCAGGGACGCATTAGCAATCAGATCAGGAACAAGCGGTGTTAAGAGACATGCTGTCCATACCGGGTTATTTCAAAACCGCCGCCGCTTGCGTGGATCTGAGGCCGGGGAGGAAAAGGTTGGAGAAGAGTCCGGTGAAATCCCGAATGCCGATCCACCACCCACACCAGAACTCCTCCCGTCCGATTCTTCATCATCGTCATCTCTCCCCCGTTTCCTGCCCTCACCCGACATACCACCCATCCAATCCCACACCCTCCTATCCGTCTCATCCCTCTCCACTTCGTCCACCCACCCCATACTCATCCCTACCCCCGTCGATGCTGGCGTTGCGGGTGTAGCAGCTGGGGACGGTTCACCGGGGGAGTATTCAAAGCCCTCCTCCTCGCAGTCTGAGACGTTGGGGATACCCCGCGAGAGCTCATAGCCCTCATCCTCGGAGTCCGACACGTTGGGGTTGATTGAGTACGGGGGAGGTAACGCGATGTCACCCTCCGATGGGGCTCTGGAGTACACGGGAAGATTCAGGGGCGATTCCTCCCCATCTTCATCTTCATCTTCCTCGTCCTCCCTTTCATCCTCCACCTCATCCCTCGCTTCATCCTCCTCCTCGTCCCCGGTTTCAAACACTCCTTCCCCACCGACGTCGTCGTCGTCGGTGAAATCAGGGTCGTGTCCGGCGCCGAAGTAAAACGTCTCCGATTCGAGATCGGAGAGCTCCGACCCAAATAGGTCGGATACTTGCGAGCCTAACTCGCTTAGCTCCCGCTCATTGTCGTCCTCGTCGTGACCGTCGTCGTCGTCGTCGTCGTGCTCCTCCTCTTCCGAGTCGCTAGCGGCGCGGTTGGTCGGGCTGCCGTTTCTCTCGCACCGCGCGAGCGCGGCCATCCGAAAGAGATTGGACAATAATGGAGCGAGGAGTGAGGCGTTGAGGCCGTTGGGGTCAACGGTGAGGACTCGGCGGAGGAGAAATACAATTGTATCTGGGTCTTCGTCGTCTAGCAAGGACAGGGCTTTTTGGTAATGGCTGGTCATGGTGGTGATATAGGAAACGAAGCGAGGTAGGTATTGGGACTGTTGAGAGCAGTGTTGAGAGAGTTCCTTTGGACATGGCGAACTGTTTTCCCACGCAAGCAACCAAAGCCAGGCAGATCTGTGTAACATAAAAAAAACGCGTGCAAGCACATTCTTCTCGTCCTTCTCCTTGTGGAAGTTCTGCTAGAGTGCCTGTACAGCAACGGCAACTTAGGAGGGGTCAATGTTCTCTTTATTGTCTACAAAGTCCACTAAATGATAAAAGAGAAATAACTCCTCTTCGACCCATAACACTCTCAAAATTCTGGATACCCCAACCGTGAACTCGAGGCACGTTCCCAAAAGCGAACAATGGACGCGCGACGTGGCTGGCCGTAATTATGTCAGCCAGTCCCAGCCACATCGCTTCAAAAGACGACTTGAACATGGACAAAACTCCAAGCGTCAAGGAGAGCACACTATATAATATCCGCCTCAAAGAAAAAAGCATATATTGAGTCTCACGCATCCACCCCCTTCTTAACCTCTCCACAGTTTGAGCGTAGTCTGTGAATGTGGGCCCGTGTTTCTGCACAAACAAACCATCCACAGTCTGTTCGTTGAACTCCGTAGCTATTATTTAGCGCATAGACGCGGTGTCATGTTAATGTCATGGGGTGGTTCCACTAGCTCGCGCAAGTGTTGCCCGCTCTCATATTCCGTAGCTTGTCTTGCGGATGGAACTCCAGTTTTTTTGTGCTGTTTTACTGGATGGCGGTGGTAGCATTCAAGAACTGTGACGCTCGCGCTCGGTTCTTTTGACGTGATATTTGTTAGGGTTAGTGGTCGATTCAAAAATAGCTCCATTACACACCCTAAGCGATCCAGAGCAATCCTGGTTCGACGTATCCCATCGAGGTCTTTTTCTTGCACATGATATGACGGTCACAAAGGAACCGCGAGATTCCGCCACGCCGAGAAATAAACATGGCGGTCAGCTCGCCAGAAATACCATTGCTCATTATCCGGCTTCATTCTCCTTCTCGACAGGAAAGAATGAGGCGGAAGAAAGAGCGTAGGTAGGATTATGGGGTCCCTCCTTGGGCGGGAAAAATGAGCCCAAACACCTCCACCTCTCCGCATGCATCCGGATAGTAAATCAAGTGAGCACCGTAGCCGGAATAGTCTGGCTTGACCGCTTTCTCACTCCTGGTGTAATTACCAAAGAAGACTGTGAATTGACTTTTGGGTAGCATCTCATGAACGCAGTTCAGCTACGCAAGTACGGGTTTTGGATTGTCATTTCGCCGGATTTCCGTATAAGAAATCGGGATGATCTGGACTTTTTTTTGCCCAAACGTGGGCCTGATCTTTGGGTTGATTGCCAAACCAGCGCAACATGTCTCCGACATATGACAAGCAGCAGCGTACGAATCCTGGGCAAATGGGACAACTGCTTGCTTGTAAACGGCGTGCGGTCAGCCGCGTCTATCCGATAACAGAAAGGAATGAAGTTCGATTTGCTCAGTGGGTTTAGGTTTAGAGGGTGGTGCTACATACTTCGCACGTGAATAAAGTATTCTCCCACAAAAAAACCGTGTGCGCAGTCGTTCTTCGTATCCAGAACACACCAAATCGGGACCAGGTTCATGTAAACCCGCCGACGGCCCCGTTCACCCAATAACAAAGGGCAAAAACACCTCGAGTAGCTCAGTTGTTAGAGCATGGTGCTACATACTTCGCAAGGGACCAAAGTATGCTCTTACAAAAGATCCCACAGACCGGCGTCCTCCGCGGTATCCAGAATACAAAAAATCTGGCCCAGTTTAAATACCACCTGCCGACGGCCCCCATTCACCCAATAAGGAAGGAAAGAAACAGCTCGATTAGCTCAGTTGGTTTAGAGCGTGGTGCTAATACGCAGGTTTCATTGAAAACATGTCGTTGATACGCCAAGGTCACAGGTTCGATCCCTGTATCGAGCATGGAAATTGGTTACAACGGTAGTTTCGCTGGATGTCCTGGATCACCTCTTGTTTTTTTTTGCTATGGTTTGAGGAACCGGCCGTATTATAACGTGCGAGCCTACGGCTAAGGCGCGATGCTCATTTGCACCCTTAGCGAAAGACAGAACTCTCGAACGCTGGTTGAGCCACACAATGTGCTCACTTCAACCGTCTTCGTTTTTCGATCCCACCTTCCTGCATTTTGTGCTAACTCAACTTCGCAATCCCTTTCGAGGACGCGACCGGCACACGCACCTTTTTTTTTAACGGGTTTTGACGCAAGCTTTTATTTACTCCACGCCTTGATTTTATAAATGTCCGGCAAGCAAGCCAACGCAAGCGCAAATATCGCATTGGTTGTGGACTCTTTTGCGCCATCTTCCGCCGACTAAAAATATCCTCAGAGATTTAACACAGCGTTGTTGGTAGGTGGTCAGGACGAGACAACAGCAGAGTGGTTGGAACGGTCAATGGTCGCACGCGGTAGTTTTGGACATATCGCAAAGCAAAATGGAAGACACGACCTTGTCCCTGCTCCAGAAAGGCTGTCGCATGCTCGATGCTGTGCCGCAGCATGAACACGAGTCTTGTAGTCGCTTAAACTTCTAGTCTATTGAAACTTTTGAACCAACCGTCCGCGCGCGGACAGAAAACAACACGTGTATACGGTGAGACTCGCATCAGGAACTAGCGATCCTTCTGCGGTTGACATTTTAAGTGAAGCCGTAGGGGCGTGCGAATTCTATCCCTTCACACACATAAACGCAACTCTAGGTGTTGGTACCGGATCAGACCCGTTCATTGCAAACTGCGGGCGCAACCATACTCACACACAGGCCGGAGAGACGCGTTGGGTCAGTATGTATTGACTGTTGAAGTGCAGCCCAAATACCATATACAATTCCGTTTTACACGCTGAATGTGCCCAACTGGGTTGTGTTTCAAGAAATGTGAACTCGTCTATTTGATGGGTGGATTAGTTAATCTTTTTTGGCAGCAGCGATATTGGTTGGGTACCATGTACAGTCGAAGCAAACTCGTGAACGGTCGCATGCGACGACACGCTTTTACATTGGTTAGGCTTCTGGGTGATCTCGCAATGTTCTCGATCAATTTGGAATTGCTTGACCGTTTTTTCGTTTCTGCTTCGAACGAAAACATGGTGCCAAAACAAAGGAGAAAAAAACATGAAGAGGAAAGACACCAACAAACGGAATGGTGATTGGATAAGAAGTATACAACCCAGCTTTTTCGACCATGCGGCGCACAAAGAAGCGGCGTTCTATCCCTGCTCTGAGTGTACGTGCGTCTTTTGTCAATGATGCCCCGTTCAATCGCCAATCATCGATCACAAGGAAGACCGCATCATGCTCTTGCTACGTAAACGTTCCCGGATGAAACGCATCAAAATCCCGACGTTAAGAAACGGCTGGGGCGCAGTTGAGATCCACCGTTTTACCACTTTTTTTTCTGGTTTTGAATTGCTTCAATATCTACGAGGGTGCTCGGTCCTAAGGAACATCCTGAATCAGCACAGGATGACGAGGATGGCGGAAGTACTATTCATCGCGCGCGAACAACTTTCCACAACTGGCCGCGAGATGGGTCGACTTCCCTTTTTTTTTTATCTTGATGCGGAGAGCCATCCGTCCGCAACAGATGGATGCAGCATTGTATTTAGCAGTCAATACCGCTGAAAGACTCGAACACTACGAGGATTGCCTATGGAGTTTGTTGTGTTCTCTCTCACCGTGAAACTAACCTTTGGAATCAAACAAATGTGCCGGTATCCAAACACGCTCCGCAACGCGGTTCGGGATGCATTTCTCGTCTATCCCATTATTTTCTTTTTTTTTGGCAATGTTACAATCGAAAGTTCAAGCAAAAACGAAAACGTTTCAAAAGAAACCCGCTATTGAGTGGGGAAGTCTCCCCAAATTTCACATGCTTGCGTTTGATACTAGTATCGTGAGGGCAGGCAAACCACCAAGCACCAGATACTTACACAGAATTTGACTTTTATTTTTCCGTTGTTGTACTTATCATGAAAAACGAGCGATGGGGCCATATTGTCGCATAACTGGTAAAATTTTAGGGTTTTGGTGGATGATCAAATGCTTAGACTCACGGGACAGTTGGCCGTGACTCTATGTCCATGATTTCCAGTACCACCCAAAAAAAAGCCGAGAAATCCATTCGTGTCGTATTCGCATTTTGGCTGCGCGCACCAAGCATCGAAGCAGCAAAGAGACAAAGGACGGCTTTGCATGTCATTAACCAGTTGGGATTTCATACCTACTAGATGGCCAAAACTGTGCGTTCCGGTTGGGTGCGATGCAGGCGCACTGCCCTGAAATTTCCACATTGCCAATTTGTTTGACCACGTGGATACACACCTCTCCGAATAATTGTCCCCTTCGATGTCCGGGAAACGGATCAGATACGGGCATAGGGTTTCGAAAAAAGCACCGCCCCCTTTTTTTCGAGCGGAAGTTGACTTCCGACTAGAACGCTCGTCTCGCCATCCACACCCCAGCAAAAAACGCTGTTTTCACAATCCTTGATAGAAGGACACGAAAGGATTTTAACGGCACAGCGCCGGTTGGAGACCAAACAGCAGAGTACGCCAAGAAATGAATCTCGTCCGCGCAGTTCCATCAAATTCAGGACGCAGTAAATAAGCATGCACGCCAGAATACCCAAAAAAAAACAGACCAAATGGTGCTTAGAGGTATTCACGTCAACCTTTTGTGACTGTTTGGCGGTACTGCAGCTCCCAGTACAATTCGTTTTTTTGTTTCTGGTTTGAATGGGCCATAAATGTCACATTATTGCTCAATAGAGTTCATCGGCTCAAAAAAAGTGATGCGGGGTTTAGTTGCAGATACGGGATGACCCTGAAATCTTCAATATCGGGGTGACCCTGAAATTCTCAATATAACACGGACAGCAACGGATACGCGTGTGAGTGTCTATTCATGGTTTGTTTTGGTTGCCTGGCGGTGGCAAGTCCGACGCTCTGGCGGTTGTATCACTTGCTACTTGCGCGCAAACACACACTCCTTCAGATAAGTTTTTCGCTTGATGACCAGCGAACAAACACCCAACAAAATTAAATCATCATTCCAGACGGGCTAATTTCAATTATACCCACCAACGTCTGCGAGAAAAACAACCACGAACACGCGAGGAAAGGGCCAAGATGAAATGGACACGTCCCAGGTGGCTGGCTGAATGGCGTAGTCACCGCGAAACACTAACTTAGTTTACTTGGCACTGCGGTTTTCGCGCCGAAGACAAATAAAAAGGCAGCAGCTCCAACGAGACGACCGCCCCTCCAAATCCTTTTCAAAATAACCATGAACGACGTCTCACCTACCCCATCACCCGCGGACAAAAACAAGATCCACGTCAACGACCTGCAATCCCTCACCCCGCCCGTCCTCGACCCTGACGACTGGGACGCCGTCTCCGCGTCTTTGAGAGAACAGGGATACGCGGTGGTAAAGGTTATGCACGAGGAGACGGCGACGGAAAGGTTTAATGAGTTTTGGGACTGGTTGGAGGCGCTTGGGTCTGGTATTGATAGGAGGGATCCGAAGACGTGGGATAAGAGGGAGAATTGGCCGGATAGTATTTTCGGGATGTTGTCGGTAGGTGGTTGTTTTTTGCGTTGGTTGCATTGTCAATGGAGCAGAGAGAAAACCAAACGGATTTCTGATGAATACATTTTGTTTTTTGACAGACGTACGGAATTGGGCAAGCAGATTTTGTCTGGAAATGTCGCACGAACCCCGCCGTCATGTTCGTCTTCTCCAAAATATGGAACGTCCCTTCCTCCGACCTCCTCACATCCTTCGACGGCGCATGTCTCTACCCCTCCCCCAACGACCCCGTAACCACCTCACCCTCTTCCACCGCCACGCCCCTCCCCGCAGTCCAAGGCTCC